GGTAGAAGGTAAGCACTCATTCCACGCAAACACTTATAAAGACCAGCATTTTTCGCTATTAAGAGCCTCCAATTCCGTAGTAATAGTAGTAGTAATAATACCCGCTACCGTTCGGTTTAGGGTGAGACAGGCAACAAAAACTATACAAAAACATAAAAAGGAAAAAAAGAAATATTGTTTCTCAGTGTCTGTAATGTCAGTTCAAAGTTACTCCTTCGTTATACATTTAGAAGTTTATATATTCAGAAATTTAGAAAATTAAAAGTTTAGGAGTTTAGACGTAGATCCGTTTACACATTTATACATTTCAGTCAAAAAAACAACGAGGACTCATTGTTGACCTGAGAACTTCGACATGGAATGAGCTAGAGACTCAGTTGCCATCGCATTCGACACACGAGCTCAAAGCTTTCGAATGCGTATAAGAAAGTTAGGTTTTGAATTGATTTTTCGTCAAAAAATACTTCGGCTCAAATTGTCATTTTCGAGGTTTTTTTACCCTGTGTGGATGGGCACCTAGACATAGAAAAAAAATTTTTTTGACTGCTAACCTAGTCTAGAATTCGACGCTGAACCCGAATATGAAATCAGAAAAAATATTAGATGTAAACTCGTCGAAATCAAATATTGACCAAGAACGGAAAAACCGCACATTGATGGCTTCATAAAAAAAATTGGCTACAGCAATATCAGTTTTTTTTTGTGCATGCAACTCAGGACGACGTCCTCTACAAACCCTGAAATTTTGACCGTGTACCGACAAACTACTGTATAAGGTGGCAGATTTCTGGCAGAATAGGCCCTAAGAAACGTAGCTCCGCTGAAAAAAACGGCAAACGATTTAGGTGGTTCTATGCGAAAACGCTAAAAATCGAAACTGACGCAGACTGAAACGCAAAAAAGTGTATTATGCCTAGCTAAAAAGGCTGGTTTGCTGCCTAAAAACGCCGAGCCCGCTGCCAAATTAGTTCGACTGCCAAATATCTTACAATAATACACCTCAGCGCCAAAGCGATACGCATTTTCCAGATACAACGCGTAACAACTTCGCCCACCTACAGGAACGCAGAAAAATTATAAAAACAAACTTATGCATTACGCTCATTTCCGCTTAAAAATTACTCGAATCAGAGCGGAAAACATCGAAAAACGTCACAAGGGTAGACCCAAACGTTCAAGTGATACGCATTTTCGCACACAACACATAATAGCCTGATTCTACCCCGAGAAGACGCAAGAATTCATTTTTCAGAAGTGTATTCATCGCGCTCATTTCCTCTGTAAAAACATTAGAAAATATACACAATCATGCCGAAAAACCAATCTCGCCCAAAATAGTGCGTTTTACGCCATTTCGCGCGACGCTTGGGGTAAAAAAAATGAAAAACAAGTAAGGTGAATAAATCATTCACTAGCCCCTTCGCTTGAAAAAGCAATTCTTTATTTGGTGCGAGCGCTAGTGCGCAGATGAAAAGCCAAAACAACACGCGTTCTGCTCGCTTAATGCGTAGCCGACTAGCACATTATAAATAGGTTTACCGATACTCGAAAGCTTTATAAAGAGACATTTGGACATTTAGGAATTTAGACATTTAGAACTTTACAACTTTAAGAGTTCAGGATTTGAGACATTTAGCAGTTTAGAAGTTTAGAGATTTGGAAGTTCAGGAATTTGGACATTTAGCTGTTTATACACGTGGAAGTTCATACATTTTGAACCTTAGAAATTTTAAAGTTCAGGAATTTAGACATTTAGCTGTTTACATCTTTAGAAGTTTATACATTTAGAACTTTAAAGGTTCAGTGATGTAGACATTGAGCTGTTTATACATTTAGAAGTTTAGACGTTTAAAAGTTCAGGAACTTAGATATTTCGCAGTTTATACGTTTAGAAGTTTATACATTTTGAAATTCAGAAATTTTGAAGTTCAGGAATTTAGAAATTTAGAGATTTAGACGTTCACGACTTTAGACATATTTCTATGTTTCTACATTTAAAAGTTTATACATTTAGAAGTTTATACATTTAGAATTTTAGAAGTTCAGAAATTTAGACATTTAGATGTTTACATGTTTAGAAGTTTAAAAAAATTTTTGGTCCCGATTCCGGCCCGTGAGAATTTTTAGGACCCGGTCCCTGTCCCGAAAGTTGGTCCCGGTGAGACCTAAAAATTTTCTTTTCACTACGCGAGAGTACACGTTTCGCAGCTTTAGCCGAAGGAATACCATTTTCTATTCCTTGTTTAGTTCTCTCTGTTCAAAAGAATAGAAATTTAGGAGTGCCTGAACGATCTTTTTAACACTCGCTCGTTTTTCGCACTTTATTGTCGAAAAATGGAGCCAAAATAGCATATCACCGGGACTAATTTTCCGGCACCTGGTCCCGGTCCCGTACACCCTTACCCTTAGCGCATTTGAATAGTCTATGAAGTCAAAGGTATCTGATGAGGTTAGCTGGTTTGAAACGCTGGTTAGTAACGCTAGTAAGTAGCTGGTTTGAAACGCTTCATAGCTGCTAGACTCACTCACACCCTCAGCTTTACATTTTTGCTTAGAATACAAAGGATCATTGTTATTTATTTTCGATATAGATATAATTCATGCCATGTTGAATAAAAACAGAAGATAAAACGAATTTAAATGTGAAGAAACACATAAAATGAATAATTAAAAAATGTCTTATTTTCGTAATGAAAAAAAATACAGTATCCGGAACACAAAAAAAAACCATTATTGAAAAAAGAAAATAACTGATTTTTTTATTCATCATCTTCATCTAAAGCAGGAATTCGAATGATTAATTTGTAATTACATACTGTATACCATTCTGTTGGACCTGTGTAACCTTCGGGTTCTGAACCCATCATTCGAAATTCTTTAATGTTTTCTACTTTATACAGACATTCAATATTATATTCAAAAATTAGAGAGTCTACATAATCAATAATTTCCTTTTGACCAACAGATGAACGATGATCAAAGTATTTTTTACGAAATTTCCCATAGAAGTCTTTGTTGTTGTTGCAATGAATTTCAATAATTTTAAATTTTAATTTTTCCGGTTTTGTTCCTTCCGGAATGTCATATTCATTGAGACCCCGGAGAGCATCGATAGTAAAATACGATCGGAAAGCGGTCAATACTATCGTGCCATCGGGTTTAAAATCGATTTTCATCTTAATGTTATTTTTTCCCAACTTTTTTAAGAAGTCAATAACACTTTTACCATGTGTGACTATCTTTACCGCGTACCCTCCATATTTGACTACCTGGGCTGCCATTGTTGTTCGGTTCGGATAAAGTAGAAGCTACGTGTTTTGTGGAATTGTTTCAATAAATGTCTTCGCTTACGACTTTTTTTCGTTGCCTTTTATTTACGCGTATTTTCAAACGGAGGATGGACGAGTAAAAACCAAGTGACAAGTAAAAAGGAAGTGACAAGTGTGTTTCTTTTTGTGCAACGCTTGAGTGCTTCCAGTTTTTACTTTTTCTTGGGCTAGTAGATTATTCATCATTTGTGAATACGCAGCAGACTGTAATACACAAAGACAGTCTGTGTACACATACAAGACAGAACCGAACAAATTTCACTTTTGCACGGAAGTGCAAAAGTAAACTTTGACAGTCTGTCATATATGATGCACATCGATTGAGATCCGTTCGAATTGGCGGAATTTGCAAAAACAATAGAAGTTTGAACCGGTTTATCACGACCAGTTACAGCTGAGGAAATAATACATATTTGCAACTGTTCCCTCTTTTTGGAATTTTTCCGGATAAATGAAAACTTAGGGTGATACATCCGCTTCTTAAAGACAGTGATACCACTCTCTCAGCGAATTACAGGCCTATCATACTTTTGCCAGCTATATCTAAGATTTTAGAACGGCTAGTTTATAATAGGCTTAAAGGGTACCCCTCCCCTCTTTTTCGGGTTTTCGTAGAAATGCTGTGAGATAAAAACTAAAACTCACTACGGCTTCATATTTTTAGAACCGATTGGAAACTCAATAGAGCACTTTTTCATTTTTGTTTCTAGCTTTTAACTATTGCCGTTCGCCAGTTTTCCACAAAACTCGATTTTTCATTGTGCCACGTCGCGATCCCTCTCTTAAATTACATCCGATCGAGTTAAAAGTTTTACCAGAGGTACTCAAGGCTACAGCGCAAAAGTAGAATTGTGGAATTTTATTTTAGACCTTTCTTTACCGAGTTATAGGAAAAATACTGAAAACTTTCAAAAACCCAGTTTTTCAGTTTGAGAAACCTTTTAACACGGTAGAGAAAGGTCTAAAATAAAATTCCACAATTCTACTTCCCAATGTTGTTGTGTGGGTAACAAATGGTCGTTTCACATCTTCATCCTATAAAAGTCAGGAATATCTATCGATTATTTTCTTCAGTTTCTTCTTTTTTTCGCTTACATCATATCGTTGATAAGTATTGAATGGATATCCTGAATTATCGTCAGTAAATATCGGTGGTGGTTGAAATATCTCCACGGTATTTGCTTCTGTTTCATTAGTACCAGTTGTACTATCGTTATCTGACTTTTTTCGTC